TCGCAATGTGTTGTAACAATTAGTATTCCTCTGTTTAAGCCTTCCCCAAATGAAGGCGCCTCGGCCTGAATTGTTTGGTTGAGGTTGTATCCGCCCCAGATGTCGCAACTGCTCGGAATTAATGTGGATTAACATGACACACACGGAATGCTAATGTTATCTCCATCCTGCTGCTGATGGCCAGACAATTTAATTGCTGTGAAAAAAGTATAAAAAATGTAATCCATAATTTCATATTTATCATAATAGCCTCTGGCAGTGAGAGGGGAAAAAAACGGAAACACAGTTTTTCCCGCCCTTTGCCCTCGTTAGAACTCTCTCGGCTGCTCCTGCATCTCCTGATTATGAACAGAGGCTACCTTGGTGCACAACTTCATTAAAATCTATTTAAATCAACTTCAACAGCAAAGTGCTCCTTCTTACAGCATGTACGAACAGAAGTCTCTGGGAACATCATTAGAGAGTAGGAGTGTATGTGTGTGTATGTGTGCGTGTGTGGTACTTCCTCTAAGTTTGGATAACAAGCTCCTTCACAAGTGTCAACACCCCCAACCAATTGCGTCCGTGTTACTGTAATGTGCCTGACAGGCTGAACGACTGCTTTGCCTCTGCCTTGATCCAGTTGTTTTGTTCCTCAGTTCAGCGGGCGTGTTCTCACTACAAAGTGGCCCTGGGTGCCCTGAAGGTAGAGCCCACCGTCTGGGTCCCAGTAAATACGTCACCCACAGGGAGAGGCCTTCAAATGACACTACAGAGCATTGCCTGCTAAACCTCCCATTAACGGGGAAGCAATTCTCTGAACTTTGCTCAACCTCCACACTTTCTCTAAACATGTGTGCCTTTGCTGACAATGATGCTTCAGATGTGATCTCGCCTTGTTTGAGCTCCTTCTTTTCACTGATGCAGAGCAGCAGTGCATTCTGAGGCAGTAATGTGCATTAACTCAAAGTCCAATGTGGTTTGACTGGAGGCTAAATGCTCACTGGGGGACACCTTGAAATGAACATGTCAAAGGTCTGTGATGCACAAAAAAATATGCCACACATTGAAATAGTTACTTCTGCCATGTTCTGTGTTGAAGTTAAGGGTGTTGTTGTGACTCAGTAATGATTGTTGCTTGTGTGCGTGCCCTGAAAATGAGTGACAGTGACCCTATGAATTAAAATTGCTAGGTCAGAGGTTTCTACAAATGTATGGTGTATTTGATTTAGGGCCAAAGGATCTGAGAAGAAAATATGCACAATATTTTTTTGTTGTTTGTTAGTTTGTAGTTTTAGTTAACTGATCATTTCACATTTTTGTATATAACCTGTAGTTTTTACACACCTGAGGGTGAGAAAGGCAGATATGTAGTGAGCAAACACTGATGATTTAATATTCCTTAGCTCTGATCTAACCAAATCTACTTGGTTAGATCAGACTGCAAGACTCAGGGTACGATAACGCCTGGCTGTCGCTTGATCAAAGAGCTGATTGGCTCGCAGTTTTGACAACAAGCACCACGTTTTCCTAATTTTCTGTGTGATTTTATTATTTAGCTCTAGATTGTCAGCTGTTTCATGTTGTGCAATGAAGGTTTAATCTGTTAAAAAACATATCTGCTAACTACAGGTAGCCTACAGATGATTTAACAGGATGTTCACATTTCTGCGACTTCCTGTATTGTCAGAGTCAGAGTACCACGGGCTAAACATGGCAAATGAAACGGGATACTGCTGGGGGGGGTCCCATTTCAGTTGTACTGGATCAGTGCACAGACCTGTACATGCTGATACCCGATACTGCATTTTAGGCAGTATTGGATGAATTTCCGATATTGGTATCAGTATTGAAACAACAGTATTGTTCATAATCATTTATGCAGTGCTAGCTCGATAAATGATAAGGTGTTTGTTGTGAACAGCAAGAAGACAAAGCACACTGACTACTTTTTCAAACAATACAATTTCACAGTGATGTGTTTCTTTGATGAAAATCCTCTTTACCTAAGCCAAAATAGCGGCATGCAGAAATCATAATAACCAGACAACAGCTGAGAGTTGTTTTTTTGTTGTTGTTGTTTAGCCAACTCTCAGAATTAACGTTAATTAATCACAGCTGAGTTGCCACTATAGCTGGCCTAAACCTTTCATCTTGTACAGCTTGTTAAGACACAGCTAATTATGTAAGTTTCTAATTTAAATTTCACCTCTTGAGATTTGAAAATTGCACTTTTCACGATTTCTGATTTGAAATGAGTCATTCAGCCTCAGTACTTTTTGTGTTTGATTATATCTAACCTGTCTTTTTGCAGATCTCTGCTGGTCCACTTGGAGAATGACTACTTTGGCCGAGGCTTCGACCAGTTCTGTCCACATCTCCACCACTACAACATGTATGTGGACAACATCTATAATGCCAGCAAAGTGCTTGGGGTAGGAACACAGCTATTCCACATGGTTACCACACCTCTTGATGCACTTTTACAAATTGTTTATTACATGAGATATGATTAGATTTTAATCATTCCTGAGGGAAAATTGGCCAATGTATTCCACAGTTATTGGACTGAATGCACAATAGCAAGTGCATAAGTATAGTTACTGTATTCTTTATTGCTGACATAATCTCTTCCACCAATGTCAGTGATGCCAGCACTGCCATGGCAAAGCTGTTATGTAAGGATTAGTGTTGGAATGATCATTTATAATCTCATCATATAATTTTCGCTGAAAAAAAATATGAACATAACATTTCTTAGGGGCCAGTACCAAACAAACACATTTGCTTGAATCAATGAGATTTGTAGGTCAGGGTATCTCTGCACTACTTCCTTACTTTGACTGTTTGTCCCCCCTTTTACCTTACTTGATCAAAAGACTGCAGCCTTTGCAATTTGGATATTGCATTTGACGACATTATACATTAAATAATATTTCAATTCATTGTGCTGCCCTAGAATTAGATTTTACCAATGTTCAATGAATTGAACCTCATCTCCCTGTTCTCTATTTTGGAATCCATACCATTTCCACACATCCAGTTTAACTTTTTTTGTGGGTGATACAACGGGCAAACCTGACCAGCCTTGGTGACAGGTTGGTGACAGGTTTAAGATTTTGGACTAACAGGAAAGCTGCAGGCTCCCTCTTGTCCCCTTGTTCAATCAATATAGGACTGTATGTTGGTGAGCTAGACAGCTTTTTCAAGTCAAGCCATGTGAGGATATTCAATATGATCCTGATTCCTGATTATCACGATAATGAAAATTAACTGTGATGGATTTAGTGTTTATATCGTTATACACAATAATATCGTATATTGTCCTATCTCTGCTATAGGGCTGGGGCACCCAAATCATATCCCTTGGAGGGCCAGTGCTTAATGGTGGGTTATGGGCCAAAAGCAAACACCTATTGTATTATGTTATTAAGATGCAAAATTATACTAGGATCCCAAGTTCCCTTAATTGACTGACTTCCTGTGCATTGTTGCCTCACAAAAATGAAACAGCATAAAGAACAATAATTTTTTAACAATTCTTGCAAGACATGAACTGATGATGATCTGCCGGCCAAATCGAACTTTATGGCAGGGCAGATTTTGACACACAGATATGAGATTATCAATCGTATTCATCTCAGTCTCAGAAGAAAGCAAATGAGCATTTAAAAAAAAAATGTAACTAATCCTTTTAATAATTTTAAAAATTACTATTAAAACACTAAACCCTGACAAATTTCAAATTTCATTTTGTGTTGTAGTGTACGTGTGCTAGTTCCCTCAGGTGACTGCAGTGATCAACCTTTTTGACATTGTGTCAAATCTTAGATTTGCAACTTTCACCGTTTACTAGTTGATATTTTTATGATCCCTACATCTCCCCTATTTACATTTCTGGTATTTTGGATGTGCATCTTATATATACAAGATATTATTTCATATTTGCACGCTATATATTTGCACTCTTCCTACTTTGTACTGCAACTGCTGCACAGTAATTTCCCTAGGGATGAATATAGTTCTTATCTGTATATCAGGCTTTACATAAAATACTCTAGAGTAATACATAGTAATACAACAAGTAAAACAGTAACCATTTCAGATTTGATAGGATTATTGATTTTGAGGTCAGAAACACAGTTAACAAAGCTCTTTAATTCTATATAATATCACCACTGACTGTTGCTGTGAAATAGGCTCTCTCCAGGTCTATTTAAATACAGCGGAAATGCTTATTTTGGTGATTGACGGAAATGACAAGATAAGGCTTTTTGTCATCCAAATGTTGACACATACTCATGCTGACATGATGTGCAAATGCATATTTAATGACATCTACAGCCTTGCCTCCTGCTCCACCTCCTCATACTGCCTCATACCTCAGCATAATGAGTGACAACAAGATGATTTTTGGGTTTCTCAGGCAGAGTACGCATCTAGAAAGTGACATGAGATTCCATGTCCATCATCAGTTCTACAAGCTGCATGCAAATGCTATTAGCATAAGAAAACATATAGATAGCTCACAGTGAATCCGGATGCTTGGAATAAGACACATGTAGTCAGGCCATTAGCATGTTATGTTCTTGTTGATTAGTTGCCAGTCAGAGTGTCTTACTGTCAACAAGGTGTAATACATGAAATGTATTTATTATTATGTTGAGACTAACACTGCAGTGTGTGTAGTATATTGGTGGCCAAAGGCACAAGGAGCATTTGGGTGAGAAAAGGGGAAATCTGTTATGTTAAGCCCTGTTTTTTCTCATGGATAGGGAGGGTGAATTAAATATTGCATGTGCTAATCACAGATTTTGTTCCCAATATAATCCCAAAATTAGATAAGATGTTGGGAAAAACCTTACCGTAGCTCAGAAAATGGTCACTTTGCAAAGCACACAGTTGTGTCTTGTAAATGTGCCTGTATGGGTCTGAGAATAATTTAACAATGATCTGTGTGTGGTCTTAGATCCAGCTGAAGAAAAACAAGGCCTTCAGACGTTTTAAGACGCTACAGGAAGCCCGACCGGAGTTCAACAACCATAAGCTTGAAGATTTGCTTCAACTTCCCATTCAGCGAATTGATCAGTAAGATATCTACCTTCTAATCTAATGGTTTTATTTCTCCATTATTATACAGTGAATGTCTTCACCAGTGAGTGAGTTGACATGGAAGGTATTTGATTGGTTTCCTTTTTATTTATTTATTTATTTTGGGCTGAGCATAGTTGTGTGCACAATAGTGTCCAAGTCCAAATTCTCAGATTTCAGCTTCTCCAATATGAATATTTTCTGGTTTCTTTTGTCCTGTATGACATTAAACTGAATATATTTGGGTTGTGATCCAAACAAGACATTTGAGGACCTCACCCTGGGCTTTGGGAAACACTGATCAGCAATTTTTCACATTTGATGGACCAAACAACTAATCAAGTGATCAAAGAAATGATCAACAGATTAATAGATAATGAAAATAATTATTAGTATTAGTATTAGTAACCATAATCATGGTATCCCAACTGTATTTTTGACAGTATAAATATGATTACAATATAATAATTGTAATATTAAAGTAATAATACAAGTTTAGCTGCTGCTTTTAGATGTATACATCCAGCCCTTGTATTCCGTCTGTACAGTGGATTCACAGGATGTGTTGGACCGAGCACACAGAGGCAGAGCTGTGACTCTTCTTTAAAATTATCAGAATAGAGCTGCCAATTATTACATTGCTTAATTGAGTGATTGGAAGAAATACTTTTAAATTATTTAAGAGAAATAGTAAATATAGAAAAGCGAAAATAAGACTCTTAAAATGAAAAACTATTTGGTTTCAGTGTTTCCTCTAAGTGTTTTCACTGTACTGGTAGTAAAGTATTTTCAAAGTGGGGTATTAGTACTTTTACTTCAGAAAAGGATTTTCTAATTCCACCTCTGGTTAGCACACCCACAGCCCAACTGCTGCTCTGATACCAGCCGATCCTTCCCCTTTCAGTAAAGAGGAGTCTAGCGGGTTTGTTGTACAAGTTTTTCCTGGTGTGTGAGGTATAGTACGTAACTGAGTACATTGAACTAAGTTGGCTAACTTAGCTAACGCAGCTGCATGTCAGGTTAAAGAGAATTAACTGATGAATCAACTAATCATTGAAGTGTTACTCTACATCAGTGGTTCCCAACCTTTTGCCTTAAGAGACCCCTTTATCTACCATTGAGTAAATTGACGACTGACTATATTCAACAAATACAAAGCAACTGATAAACAGTACAATGAACTGACAGTGAACACAATAACTGCAGGAATTTTTTTGTACATTATTTCCTGTGAATATTGCATCAGAAATTAGTGTTTCAAATATTTTTAGGAACTTTTTATACAATTTTCTGTCTGTATTATGTATTTTCAAAATTTTTGATATACATACTTTATAGGCTTCTTTTTTGACCACTTTAGTGTTTTATTCTTGATACTTGAGCCATTGTTCTAATACAGCTTGTGTTCTGGTCATCAAAGTTTAGGTATTAAATAATTTATAAAAACAATTTATTTTAACTTAAATATTGTTGGAACTGTTTACATGGAAGGTTTTCAATTTTGTAAGTTAAACAAACTCAACTTTGTAAGTTAAACATTCTTATTATTTCTTATATTCTTATTAAGTACTTTTTACTATTTTTTTCCACAATACAAATACAAATTTAAAAATGAAGTCAGTGTCACTTAATATTAATAAAGCAACTTGATCAGGAATTTAATTTTATTTTTTTTTACTTTTTACTTTAAATTGTAATCAGTTTCAACAATTTCTGGAGTTGAATGAACTTATCTGGTTTTATAGTGTAATCTAAACATTAAAAAGAGTAAAAACAGTTGAATTTAGTTTTCTTCACAGAAATAAATGAAATGCTGCCAGCCTACTGTGTATATTTTTGCACATATCATATGTTTTTCACATCCCTTAAAATCAAGAAGGCCTTGTGCCCCCCTATGAAGCTTTGGCGACTCCAAGTGGGGGGTCCTGACCCTCTGGTTGGGATCATTATCAGTTATTTTCTACACTTACGTACATGCAGCTCAGAGAATGTCAAACACAGGTTTAGGAATGGAACAGTGCATCACCCTCTTACAGTGTAAGAGTGTGAGTTTGTGAGCTTGTACCATGAAATGTTTTCAGCACATCTTCAGGTGTTTATGTAATTGATGCTCAGGTTATATAAAATATTTCTGTTTTTTACTCAGTTTAGAGAAAACACCAGTGTGTTGGCGGAGGTTTTTTTTTGCTGGTGCTGTTCCACCATTGAGAGCAGAGATGGGTCACAGATTTCACGCTTGAGTTCTGTTTTTGCTGTTTAGTTGTTTTCCTTTCACCAGTCACCTGCTGCACTGCACAATCTATAGTCTTCATGACAGATGTAATTATTATTATTTTATGTAGCACCAATGTAAGAACTCAGACTGTCCAGAAACTGTCAAAATCTTGTTTGTTAAGCTCCATTTTTTGTTTGGTTGTTTTGTAATTTCATGCGGTCTTGAACTTGCTTGTTAATTAACAAGAGGAGAAATGGGCTGAAACGTGCTTTCCAATGCAGCAGATATCATGACAGAGGTTTATCAAGCTGCTTGGTTGTATCTTAATTAGGCCCTTCTCATCTTCTCATCTCTCCAGATATACAGTCAAGCATTCGAAATGTTACATCCATCCATCCTACGAGAGAGAAGTTGTCTCTGAGATGAGCTGACCCCTCACCTTAGCATCTGAGACACTTTACTGCAGATCTCATTTATGTTTACTTTCTCCTCTACAACAAAGGATCGCCTTTCTTTTATTTTCTCACTGTTCCCACGCTTCTGGGATAATGTGGCACTCTAAAAAGGCAGCTTCCCAAGCCTTGGAAAATGATTGGAGTGCACCAATCCAAACCTCTCTCCTGATACGATACATCAATACAGGGTATTTGTCAGGGCTAGTGTTTAGACTAGACCCAGGAGCAGACAGACAGACAGGATGGATGATTTCAATGGTCTTTATTCAACACACACACTTGGGGTGGGATGAGCGGGCGGCCCCAGCAGGAACCAGAAAGGTGGAAAAAGCAAAGAGACCGGAGACACGGGGAGCACAGGTGAGCGACTCTGGAGCAAAACTGCACAAGAGGTTCCCTGGAACGCAGGAGAAAATGGTCAGGCTTAAGGAGCAGGCACAGGGTAAATCCAAGTTTAGATTGTAGTAACAAGGAAAAACACTGAAAAGAGCCACAAGATAACCACCACGTTTTGGTGACACAATCTGCATTTAAATTGGAAGGAAGACACGACCAGGGTTTTCTTTGGAGGGCTGAGGGTATGAGTGGGGGGGTGTTGATGAATGCAGGTGAGACGTGCACAGGTGAGAGTGAATGGAGGCCGCACCCTCATCAGAGACACACAGGGAAGGAGGAGGAGTAAAGGCAGTAGGAAGGGAGGAGAGCCATGACAGTATTGTTAATGGCAAGTACCAATCCAATCCAAAATCTCTATACCTCGTGGCATTGAACTCATAAGAATATTTTTTTATATAAGGTATGTTTGCATGGATGTTGTCATATCATTAGGTTAATTAGAACTGCTGGCTGGTATTTTTTATTTGTGAAGTCCACAGTTCATTCATGGGTCATTCTGGATTCAAAGTGCTGTAATGGAAAGTAGGGTGATTCTGTGGCAGCTGGCATACCAAAGGCAAACTGACAGGACTGAAAATGGATTGGGCTCTGTAAGCCTGACACAAAAAATCTCAGAATGCCTAGGTCAGTCTAGGTTTGGACGACTGGACAAATATATCTGCGATTGGTCATCGCTGGTTGTGTTTGTTGGCTGATTTTTATAATTTTATTTAGCAAATTTAATGGTCTATTTTCACATCTAACTGCAGTGAATTAAGGGTTTATTTTGACTAGTTTGACAACAGGGAATACAGTTACAAGGTGATTCACAGAGGCTTCAACCAAGACTCTAATTCTGGGGAAGATGAGGCAGCAGACATGGCAGGGACAGGAGAGGACAGGAGAAAAGAGGAGAGGAGAGGCATTAAGCGGGTAGAGGAGGGAGGGAGGTGGGGCACTAGAAAGGCAGTGTAAAGACTATATAGACGATTTGGTGAGTTTAATTTTGTTGTTGAGTTTAAATGAAGTGTGTTTTAAGATGAGTTATTAAGGTTTTAGTTTGGTAATAGAGAGAAACTTTTGGAAGGTGTACGGTTGTATTGTTTTGTTTAATGTGAAAAATAGGTGTTTTTCTTTTCCTTTCTTGACCTTTGGTGAGTTTATTTTGTCTATTAAAGCTATGAGTGCTTGTTGCACATAGTGTACTCATCTCCCAGCTGCAAACACTGGGGCAATAAAACTTACCTTTAACCGCAACCCTAGGGCAGACCCAATCCCCATTCATTGTATTGGGTTGGGCTGAGAAATAGCACAGTGGTATACCCTGACACATCAAAGTGTGTCTGTGTTAATGGTATACAAATTCAGTAATTAGATGCTTAGATCGTAATTCTGAACAGCCAAGTGGGAAAGAATGTTGATTTCAGTCTACTTGTTGTAACTTAGAGTTGGAGATATCAGAAAATTCTGAGAGCTGCAATATCTTCCTATTTGCAAAAATGACTTCCCAAGTGCATGGCAAAGCCTCCATCACTGACAGTTGCGGTTAAAGGTAAGTTTTATTGCCATTATACAATAAAGGACTGTGCAATGAAATGCAGTCGTATCCCCCTCCATGCTGCACACAAATATATAAGGTCAAAGATTTTAAATGGAAATAAAATAGAACAAATAACAATTTAAAAAAAAGTTGCGCTGAAGGAAGGAACAACCAAACATTTACAACTATATTGTGAATGTTATTTAAAGGACCAGTTTGTAGGATTCAGTGGTATCTAGTGATGAACTGAATACCGCTCGCCTGCCAAGTGTGTAGGAAAAACTACAGTGGCGAAAAGGTCCTATCCTAGCCAGTGTTTGGTTTATGTGTTCTGGGCTACTGTAGAAACACAACAGGGTCTAACTGCAGCACCTTGGACCTCCTAACATAAACTTCCTATTATCAGCTAATA